GTAGAGACGGGGTCTCGCTCTTGCTCAGGCTGGTCTCGAACTCCTGACCTTGAGCGATCCACCCGCCTCGGCCTCCCAGAGAGCTGGGATTACAGGCGGGAGCCACCGCGCCCGGCCCAAAACAACAAACTTAATGGGCTTTTTGCAAGGATATTCACATTTCTTTACAGAGTTTGTTTGTGGAAGGGAATCACATCCAATCTTATTTTAGAAGGTCTGTAGAAAGCAAAGTAATATACCAAGATGAATGGAGATCCCACATTCACTCATTCAGCAAACATTTTCCTCTATTTATGAATGAGACCATGGGTAAAGAATGAAAGAAAGAATGAAAGAAGGCCACAATGCAGCTGAGAAACACACAAGCAAACAAGCAACTATTACATAGCTTGATAAGTGCATAGACATGTCCTATGCATAAGATGTTATGAAAACACATAAGAGGGATGCACCCCAGGCTGGGTGGCAGGGAAGATGTCCAGGAGAAGGGCACATCTAAACTGAGTCCTGAAGAATAAGCAGGAGTTAACCAGACAAAAGCGGGCAGAAGAAAGGATGGGAGGGCAATTTGAGCAGAGGAAAGGACACACCTGAAGGTGCTAAGGAAAGAAAATAGCCTTTCCAAGCAGATGCAAGGGTTGAAGAGGGAAGGAGACTGAGCAATAGCCCCTTTGCAGGAGGGGGAGCTGATCCCATTCTTACTTGCTACCTGAGCAATAGGACTGCCTCCCACTGCACCCACTCTCAAAGGAAATAGTTTGACTTGGAGTACGTCATGTGCAATCACAGAGACTGGACTCACACAATGTGCTCAGTCAATATTCACAACTTGAATTAAGTGGACTCTTCGGGGGAGGTAGAAAAAGTCATGGAAGCAGTGATTAGCCTAGAGGTGTAAGGCAAGAGGAAGAAGATATACAGTTGAGTTAGAGAGGCTTTGCTTGACCATTAAAAAAAGCCAGAGACCTAGTGATTTGTCATTTCCCACGCAACAGTTAGTTAGGGAAAGGAAGAAGATTTTTAAAAAGAAAAAAATATATATCAAACAAACAGAAACATCCTTGGAGCTTGTAACTGCCAGTCTGATTCAGAGGTGCCTAAAATTCTCAAAATTCCCCTCTTCATACTATGAATAACCCCACATCCCTATTATTTAAAAAAAAGTCACCCAAACAGAGTATTTACTTAGTTATTCTACAATTATAAACATTCATATCTGTACTATACACTTTTCAGTAGGTTTCTGGGAACAAACCGAGCACCACTGAAATTCATTTCTAAAAGAGGAAAAGATTTTCCTGAATTGTAAGTGCTTTAGTAGCCCTGCTATTAACTTTCCAGCAACAAAAGCATAAAGCAATGGAGATGAAAGATTTTCTACTGAAAATCACTGATCCACTGGAGGCAAAAGACTCAAGAACTAATTGATAAGTGAAAAAAAAATTATGAGAGTTTTTTAGAGAGATACAAATAAATATTCTACTCTTGTTTTTATTTAATTAAGATTACACAGCAATAGTAATTACTAATTAAAATTTACTTCTCTGTTCTCTCCACTTATAGGAAGCTGGCTAGAGTTGAGAGAGATAATGGTCGACATTAAAAGAAATACAGGCTTCATTCCTTTTTTGATGACTGAATAAAAAAAGAAAATAAAAATTAAAAAAAGAGAACAAGAGAAGCAGAAATAGAAATATATGTAGAGTGGGAGGTGCTCATTTAATAACCTATTAATCTTAGAGTCTTATTGGATATTCTGGCTAAAAACATTAAAACAAGGCATTTGACGATTCTGGACACAAATATCAACACTTAGTACCTGCCATTTCAACCTATCTTTGTATCTGTGTATACTTAAAGATTATAAAAAAGCACTTCTACATACTGGATAATTTAACTCTCACTTCAACTCCATGAGGTCCATATTATTATTCATTTTATCTTGCACTGGAGGCTTGGCAAAGACCCAGAGGGGGGGCCGGCCTGCCCCCAAGCTCATGCTCACGACGTCACAGGGGACACATGGGTTACTACCGAAAAGCATTAAGCAACAAAAGAACAAAAGGCAAACAGTAGCCTTTTATTAGGAAAGGAGAGGAAGCTCTAACTAAATAATACTGTAAGACACATGTTTTTAGTACTGCATTTAGTTTTACACCGGACCTTTAATGATAAGTCCCCTATGATCTTGTCATTTGTGTGCAAGGCACTAGAGTGGAAAGGCAGGAAGCCATGCTGAAAAGGAGGAGTATCTAGTTAAAGATTCCTCCATGAAGTTAGGAGGGCTGCAAACTGCAGGCTGAACTGTCCCAAAACCAAGAAATATCTCGCCTATTTTCATCAGGGTCACTAGCAATTATTTGTGAAAACATAAGAGGGCCTGATAAAGTACTTAAAATTGGACCAGAAAACTGTGGGATATGTGCTTTGAGATATAAAATTGATATTCCTGATGTCTGTAGACACATCAGTGTTACCTCCATACTTGCTGGGGCTTGGAAAAATAAATTAAGAAAACAAATAAGTAAAGACTAATGTAGCTTTGTGAGAATGAACTCATAAAACATTACTAATGCACTATTTCATCCCAGAAACAAAAATCAATAAATCAGAGGGCTCTTCATGTGAGCCAACCGGGCATTTCTAATAGGTCACTGCTCAAAGAATACTGCATCAGTTATTCAAGGGTAGCCTCAAGGACTGCATCATGTAGAGAGTTCTGAAGATGCTGAACTTGGCACAGGCTTCTCATTTAATTAACAAGTACACGTGTAGGAATTAAGCATGGCACTGAGAAGAAACTAGGTAGGCAGGGTAGGTAGATGGACTGAAAATTAAATTACCTCTATGAATCACAGAAGAGAGTAGGTAAGAAGACAGCACAACAAGTTCAACTGTGGAAAGTGAAGAACCACTCCAGTGAGCAGGAAACTGGAATACCAGAAGGCTCACTCAAGAATCACGTGGCATGGCCCTGTGAGGCTGGGTCTGTGAGGAACCAGCCACGTTTCTCGTCCTTATGACAGAGTATGAGCAATTCCCAAATTACACTCCTGGAAAAGGTCTCTGTAGCAGAGCAAACACATAATCCTGTGCGTTTGTCTTTTTAGATATATTCTACCTCGCACAGAGAAGCCTTCGAGTGAAGAAGTTAAGGCAGCACCAGTGGCTTGGAGGAACTGACTAGATAGGACTGAATAAACAGTGTGATGAAGTCTACAACACCCAAGAATAAGCGTCCGATTTGTCCTGTGTTCCTTTTAATGCTTTGCTAAAAGACAACATGCAAAATGGAAAAAATACAATTTATCAGAGATCATTGAAAGGGTTAGAAAAAAGTCCTTGGGAGGAGACGTTAGGAAACTAAGTTATTTAGGCTGATGGAAAAAAAAATACTGAAGGGATTTTATGTAAAAGCACTATGCATAGGAAAGAGATCAGGGTTAGACTTGGTCTCTAAATGTGAGATCAACTGTGGCACAGGTGCCCTCAGAGAGTCCCACATTCCTGCAGAGCTTTGGTTTCCTATCTGTTGCCCAGAGCTGCTCTGAGGCTGAGATGAAATGTGCATTCTCTCATAACTCCAGTCTATACTCGCTGAGTGCCTGCCCTGGGCCAGATGCTGGGGATGCAGCAGCCAACAGAGCACTGCTCCTGCCCACAAGGTGCTCACTATCCTATGTGGCATTATGGATAAAGAGAGGCATTATGGATAAAGAAGTAGGAAAGGATGAGGGAGTTAAGTGGGACAGGGCACCAAAAGGATTGGGAGATCAAGAAAAAATTCTGTCAAGAAAAGGCATCTCATCTAAAACTTGTAGGATGAATAGGAAGGTGAAGTTACCTACAGCTACAGGAGCAAGGGACAGTGAGGAGTAGAGCTGTAGAGCACTCTATGTGGAGTACTCCAGCCCAGGCACTGAGGGCGCATGCCCATGGAAGGAAAAGAAGGGCAGTCAGGTGCAGCAGGTTGTACAGGTACATTGAAGCGCTGGTGGGGAATTACTATTAGACGTGAAATTCCTACCCAACATGCCTGGCATATGAATACATGGAGCATTGATTGACTAGTA